TCAATGCTAACTTATATAATACATACAATTTTAAGAATTTCAATTGTTATAATGTTTAATATATAATTTATAATGTATGATTTTTATGTTTTAGTGTGACATTAAGCTATAAAAAACATGACATCCTTATTATGTGTGTCACTTACATTTGTGATTTGTATGGTAAACTATGCTGTTAGTCTTCTACCTGCATATGACGTTACTAACACTAGACTAACAGTCCGTTTATCTGACCAAGAATTTGAACATGTAATAAAGGATGAACAAGATCAGACCCAAAAAAGTCATCAACCATCGCCTGATGAAAAAAATATTAGTATGAATACATTTTAAAATACTATTTATTTTTAAACAAAAATATATGATAACTCTATAACTATAAGTGCGCTTAATTAAGAATATTGATTTGTGATAAATGATAATGATTTGTATTGTTGTATTGAATACTATTTTTATTGTAAATAACAAAATATTTAATATTAAGAATCAACAAAAATCTCATTTATGTTGTCCATGGACATTTAAATATATTAAATATTTGTGTTTTAAATAATTCTTATTTATTAGGTAAAATTTAACTTTAAACTAAACTATTGATTACTAATGGAGAAGACGGGCAAAATTGCTTACATAGAAGCGGTGAATAAGTTAAGTGAAAGAACAGAAGTACATAAATTATGGGAAAATATAGAAAATTCTATCAAAAAGGTAGCTAGTGAAACACTGGGGTACAAACGGAAAGATAATAGCAAAAAATGGTTCAATGACAGATGTAACTATGTAAACTAACAATAATAAAACGAAATGCGACAAGATTAAAACTAATCAAGACTCCTAACAAATATAATAGAAGGCAATTGGCAATCCAATATAGAAAATTAAAAAAGGTAATTCGAACCGAAAAAAGACAGTGGTAAATGAATCGTTTACAAGATATTAAGTATAGAGACAAACGATAAGTTAAATGCAAAAGTGTCTATTAGTAAGTACAATAAAATAAAACAGGTTTTAAACCCAGAATGACTATTCTACGACAAACAGATGGAACACTGATTACGGATGGATTAGATATGATAGACAATTTCAGAGATATTCGAGGAATTTCTAAATAAGTCAATGCCAGAAAAATTAGAGAATCATTGGGTAGTATCATCCGAACAACCGTTGATTGAACCAACAAAAGAGAAAATACAAATGGCTATTAACATGTTTAAAAATGGAAAAGCTCCAGTAGAAGATAACTGCGGAGTTCCTTTAATATGGGAGGGAACACGATTACACAAAACAAATAGAAAAATTAATAAATAACATATAAAATAACTGAATCTTGGACTTTGTCAATTATATGCTCAATTCACAAGAAAAGGGATATAGTGGATTGTAGGAACTATAGAGGAATATCACTACTTGACTCGTCATACAAAATACTGCCAAACATACTTCTCACCAGACTAAAGCTATATGGTGAGGAAATGGTCGGTAAATATCAAGCAGGTTTTTAAACAGGAAGATCAATGTGGACCCGATTCACACCATCAAACAAATAATGGAAAATATCTCCGAATGTAATCATGGTATTTTCGTGTTATTTATGGACTATACGCAAGCGTATGATTCCATAGTAAGAGAGGAGCTATGGATAGTAATGAAAGATCTAGGAGTTTCTATCAAGTTAATTAGACTGATAAGATCATGTTTACTGAACTCAAAATGCAAAATTTAGGTCAATGATTATATATCTAAGGAATTCGAAGTTAAAATAAGATTAAGACAAGGAGATGCACTGTCTCCCATGTTTTTTAATATTGCATTGATATCAGTAGTTAGAGGACTGTATGATACTGACGTAAGGATTATATTATTAAATAAAATGACTAACTTATTAACATACGCGAACGATATAGTGCTAATTGACAAAACAGAGGACAAAATCAAGACTTTAGCAGAATTACTTATAAAAAGAAGCAAATCTATGGGAAGACAAAATATATGATACTATCGCGCATAAACTATAACCAACAAAGCTTAGCGGTGAACAGAATTCTTTTCGAAAGAGTTAATACATTTAAATATCTCGGAGTGGAATTAAGAGCAGATGGAGATAATCATAGAGAAATTCAAATAAGAAATAATTCAGCTAACAAACGTCTCTTTGTCCTAAAACCTGTTTTCAATTCTAAGTTAGTTTCATTTAAACAAAAACTATAATGTACATAGTAATTATACGTCCAATTGTTTTATATGCTAGTCAAACATGGACTACAACAAAAACGGATGAGCCAAAAGTGGCTATTTTTATAGAGGAAGGTGTTAAGAAAGATATTAGGCCCAAAAAAGATCATTTAACTGGCCTGATGGAACGACGGATCAGTTTAAAACTTAGAAATTATTCAGTGAACTTGTTGAAAATATTGTTTAAACTTAAATTTAATATTCCCTTGTTTTAGTATTAAATTGATACTGTCAAATTATCTTTTTTTTTAGATTCCACAATATCCACCAAAATATTATCAACATCACCCAGTAAGTACATTTTTTAATATACATATGTATTCTAATAAAGTACAGTTGAAATACTATTTAATAAAACATACTTACAATTTCGGGTAACATGGCTGTATTTGCGGCAATTGTAGTATTAATTCTGAGACATACATATTATATATAATAACTATATTATTCATACTTTTCAGCGTCGATTCAATATGTCCACCACTGCCGCCACATACTTAAATTGTCGGGTAACATGGCCGTACTTATGGCAATTGTAGCATTCTCAATTCTAAAACATATATATAATTATAATAATTATATATTATTCGTAACAATAACTATTCTTCTTATTCATACTTACTTTTCAGCGTCGATCCACCACGGTCCCCACCGCCGCCACCACCGCCACCGCTGCAACTGCCGCCACTGCTGCAACTGCCGCCACTGCTGCTACGGCCGCCACAGCCGTTACTGCCGCCACCGGTGCTACGGCCGCCACCGCTGCTACGGCCGCTACAGCCGCCACTGCTGCCACCGCTGCTACGGCCGCCACCGCTGCTACAGCCGCCACAGCAGCAACCGCCGCCACTGCCGCCACCGCTGCTACGGCCGCAACTGCCGCCACCCCGGTCGTCTGCAGGGTACCAATACCGTGGATCTGTCCAAGGCAGTAAAGCCAGCAAATATTTGGGGAAAGTTTAGAGTATAAAGAGTATACAGTGATGTACAAGTTTCAAATATAATAGACATTTAAAACTACTCAATCTTATTAATTTCGGGGGTCTGAACTCTACCCTCCCTAGGTTACGGCCTTGGATCTGTCCATCAATGAAAATAGAGAAATAATTTATTTTATACATATATATTATATTATAATTAAATTGAAATATGGTTATTGATTAATTATTACGTGTGCGGCAATATAAGGTGATACCTACTGGTATTATGAGTTAGCGTGGTGGAGGTCGAAAAACGTTATGCTCCTGGGTCTGGTGTTATTACTTCGAGCGGTTTTTCTACGATGATCTTTTGTACGATTGTGCAATTAATTCGTCGTATACCTACTTAACGTGACCATACGTTCCGCTTTCGAGCTTTGTATCCCGCTGTCTCCAAGGAACCCAAAAATGTCCTGCATTGAAAAAAAGGCGATTTATGGCATTTTATTCCACTACAAAAGAGTGGAACAACCATTTTTTTAATATAAATTCATTAAAAATAGAAACGGAAAATGCATCCAATCCATCAGGCAGATTGCTCAGCCAGGTATCGTCAAACATCGGGCTATGACTGATAGCTAGACCCTCAATTACTGTTTTTGGAATGTGTTTATTTATTTTACATATAGATACACAAAAGCACCGTGCAAGCGATGAGACGAGATGTATTACACCTGTGATGACACTCAAATTTGAGTCAAATTCGACTTTTATAGACTTTTATTATTTACACGTTCAAACAACACCGCCAAGGTGTAGGGCCACCAAATCAGTGGTACCAACGTCGCAAATGTAGTTATCATCGATTTCGTAACGAGACTTATTTAACTACGGTTTTTCACAAGTCCTGCACCGAACTCTAAAAAACTGATCACCATTCCCAACCGATTTTCCAGCAAAGAGATTTTCACTCGACCAACTGGAAGGCAGCTTCCAAACGCCCGTAATCGAGTTTTACCTATTACTAGTATTCTATAAAGGCTCACACATATTGACATATTGCAGCAGTGGCGTTAATTTGTAGCGGTTACGTCGTAGTTGGACAGAAATTACCGCCGCGGTAAAGTCTTATAAAATTATATCACTACCGATGCACTGTGCACCTTTAGTATCAACTATCAATAGGTCTATAATGAGAAATTTCTCCTCTGAGCCACGGCTATTTTCATTGACAAAATGAGTATTATTGACAGTTGGTACAGTAAAACATTTTCCATAAAAATACAGTTGTAAAAAATTACTTGAATGAAAAAAATAAATATAAGCCATCAGTTAATTACAAGTCATAAAGTAACACTTAAATCTAAACCACTCTAATAAGTAATATGGTACTGTCTATATTCTACTCTATAACATAGTTTATGGTGTATAACGGAATATGTGAAAATTATTTTGAGTTTTGAAGTCTATTTTCTTATAGTCTATGGGTCTGTTGTCAAACAAGTCATGTTAAATTAATTCAGCTGCTTCGCGCCTTGGATATATTCTTTATAACGGGATCATTTTCTATAACATTATTAACTAATAATATTTAATACAAACTTAAATGTCGCACATTTGTCACTCGGACATATTTAATATTTACTAATTTACTATTTGCCATTTGGTATTTAGTATATTTATTATTTTAGCCCGACTTCGTGGTGCATATCACGTTTTTATCACTCGTTATTGTTGTTTAAATAATAACTGATATGGTGAATATAATGAGCATATAGTCCAAGGTAAGCAACAAGCTGGTGTATTGATAAACCTTGGTATTAAAATGAATAATAACTGATAATAACAAGGAAATAAGTAAATAACTTAAATTACAACATTCTATACAAGATACAACTGAACTGACTACTGACAACTCAGTATTAAATAATCACGTCTATTCACGATAAAATGTTATTTTATTTCTATATTACTACTTAATAGTTCGTTACCTTTTACAAAAACGGTGCCTACAGCTCTCTAACTATTAACTCTAATAGTGTAATATTAAAAATATTATGATGTTACTTTAAATTTTCTTGTATTATACTTAAACCTGAAGTTCGTACAACTAATTCTTTCTTCAAGGGTAACTTTGTTTAATACATACAATTTTAAAAATTCCAATTTTTATAATGTTTAATATCTAATTTATAATGTATGGTTTTTATGTTTTAGTGTGACAGTAAGCTATAATAAAACATGAAATCCTTATTATGTGTGTCACTTACATTTGTGATTTGTATGGTAAACTATGCTGTTAGTCCTCCGCCAGCATATATTTCTAGCACTAGACCAACAGTTCGTTTATCTGACCAAGAATTTGAACATATAATAAAGGATGAACAAGATCAGACCCAAAAGAGTCATCAACCACCACCTGATGAAAAAACATTAGTATGAATATATTTAAAAATACTATTTATTATTTATTGTTAAACAAAAAAATATGATAACTATAGTGTGCTTAATTAAGAATATTGATTTATTATGGTGACTTGTATTGCATTTTAATTACAATTTTTATTGTAAATACTAAAATCAAAATTTATCATAATTTGTAACTCAAATTATGTTTTTAATATCAAGAATCGACAAAAATATCTCTTATGTTGTCTATGGACATTTAAATATACTAAATATTTGTGTTTTAAATAATTCTTATTTATTAGGTAAAATTTATAAATTTAACTTTAAACTAAACTATTGATTACTAATGGAGCAGACGGGTAAAATTGCTTACATAGAAGCTGTGAATGAGCTAAGTGAAAGAATAAAAAATCGCATAGAAATACATGAATCATGGGAAAATATAGAAAATTGAGGAATTTGGGATAATATTTTCATCTTGTATGGACGGATAGCCATAATTATTATTCTTTAGATGCATTTAATAAAATATAATTATAATTTAATACCTTTTGGTTTATTTAAATTTATGCCTTAAAAAATATTAAGTATACATTTTAAGACTAAGAAAGTAAAAGTTAACCCATATAAATAGTTATTAAAACATATATTGTGATAAACTGTATAATTTTATAATTTTATATATGTCATCTAATATAGTATTTAATATTTTATAGGTTGATTTAGGTATTGAATACAATCGTTATTTAAAAGAAGTTGTGGAGACCTTAGAAAAAGATGATGCATTCAGAAAAAAACTCGAAACTGCCAATGAAGCAGATATTAGGGTATGTACTATATTGTGTTATATCATGTAAAAATATCTATCACTGAACTAGATATTGAATACCATTTATTTGTATTAATATTATATGTAATAATTGATTATGGAAAAATATATTCATATCAATTATCGTGTTTCATACTTGTGTATTTATATTTCTAGTAAATCTTATTTTTTTAGACTGGTAAAATTGCTGATGAATTAGAATATGTAGGACATCATATTCGATCAAAATTAGATGAACTTAAACGCCAGGAACTAAATAGACTTCGTGATATCGCAAGAAAAGCTTATAGTGATTCTTCTGATCCAGGACATGTTGATCACCAAAATCCACACAGTTTTGAAAAAGCCGATCTTCTAAAACTTATACAACAGGTACAGTCAATTTTTGAATCTAAAATAATATTTGATATTAAAATATAATCAGTTTAGGTACATCTTTTTTTTTACTAATACCTAGAAAAATTAATGATAAAATAAAAAAAAAAATTATAAAAACACTAATTTACCCTTTTTCAACGTGTTTAATTCAAACTTATCAACTGATGATTAATCTACTGACTACTACTAAGAAAAAAACATTAATTTATTTACAATTTCTCCCTGTAACGTGAAAACCAAAAAATATTGGTTATATTAAGTTTTTAGGAGAACTTTTCCCCTCTAATTTATTATCCAAAATTTGTGGAAGATCTACTGATATGGTGAATTATAATATAGTTTTGATATATACCTAAAAGTTCCTATTTCTAAACATATGCCACTGGGTAAAGAATACCATCCTTTCAAATCAGACATAGTAGTTTTGGGTTTACTCCATGCCATAAAGGATAAAGGGCCGTACAAAAAACAAAACCAAAAAATAATTTTCAACCAATTTTTAAAGTTTCCTGATACTTTTAAAATAGTTTTTCTTATAAAAATGTATAGAATAGAAGTAATTAATTTTCAATTAAAACATTTTTTAAAACCAGTAAAAGTATTTCTTTTTCACTCTAAAACTAGAATGTTTTCATGGGTATTTTAATTATTATTTTATTAATTCTATTTGGATAAGGTTGCTAAAGATCTAGCAGATGCTGATTTGAAACGTAAACAAATGTTTAAAGAATATGAAATGCAGAAACATTTTGAAAGAGAACAAAAATTGAAACAAATGACAGATGAAGAACGTCAAAAATTTTTATCGGAAGAAACAAAATTAGAATCCGAAAGAGAAGTCAAGCATAAACTTGATCCAGTATGAGTTGATTATATATGTTTTTTTTAAAACAAGGTAGTTAATATTGTTTTTTTTTTTTTTTTTTTAATATCAGATTCATCACCCAGGAAGCAAAAAACAACTTGAAGAAGTTTGGGAAAAACAAGATGAAATGGAAGGAGAAAATTTTAATCCTCGTACATTTTTTGCAATGCATGGTAATCAATACAATGATAATTCAAATTTTATAGTTTTTTTTTTTTTTTTCATACATGTAGTTGGAATGGACAAAAATCAATAAAAATTCACTGCACTGTTTATTAATTCCATAATAAAAAATAGCCTAAACTAGTACAAAGAAAATAAGACTATTGAAAAAATATGGAAATTAATTAAATTCATAATATGCTTTAATGTTATAAAACTCAGATATTGTTGCTTCTACAAAATATCAAATTTTATGCATTGCTGTTAAAGCTTTACATTTTTATATTTATAAAAACAATTTTACTGATATTTATATAAAATTATCTTTATTGCAAATTTTACAATTAATATTATCTATCTTTTCATTGATATGCTCTACTGATTTGATCGTTCAATTTAAAAAATATTAAAATTATTTTAAGTAGGTAACCACTGATATACAGTAAAAGAGTAGTGTATCTCATCATTTGGTAATGAATGTATTAAATTATTTGTAGTGAATTATGAAAAATAATTCTGAATTAAAACTGTTTATTTGTTGATAAACAAATTAATAAAATAACTATTTTAATGATAATATTAACATTTTAACGATTGTTTTCTTTTTGTTTTTACTAATTATTTTAAAAAGTTTTGAGAATTTAAAATTTAAAATTCATTCCTAAAAATATCAACTAGATTCAATTTTTTACTAGAAACCTTCCTCAAATTGTTTTAATTAGAACATACTTTCTATCAAAAAAAGTGTCTTCAGACATAAAATAAATAAAAAATAAAGTACATTATTGTAAAATCAATACATTATTTGTTTTGTTCTAAATCTAAAATTATTTATTTATTTTAAAAGTTGTTAACTTGTATATTTTTGTAATAACAAATAGTTTAAATATGATTGCATATATTTTTTATTAGACATTGATGGTAATGGATTTTGGGATGAAGATGAATTAAAAGCATTATTTGTACGGGAGCTAGATAAGCTTTATCAACAAGGTATGGCAAAATCAGATCTAATGGAAAAAGCTGAAGAAATGGAACGTATGCGTGAACATGTATTTAATGAAGTTGATTTAAATCGAGATAGACTAATCAGCTGGGAAGAATTTAAGCGTATGTCTGAACAACCAGATTTTGAAAAAGATGAAGGATGGAAAACCATTGATCAAAATGAAATTTACACTAATGAAGAGCTTAAACAATTTGAACATCAGAGACAACAACAAATTGATCAAATGATACAAAATGGACAAGTTAGTATTGACCTTGTTAAAAATATTGTTTAAATATTCCCTACTTTTAATATTTTATTGATAATGTCAAATTATTTATTTTTTTAGATTCCACAATATCCACCAGAATATTATCAACATCACCCAGTAAGTACTTTTTTTTAATATACATGTATTAAAATGAACTACAGTTGAAGAACTATCAAATGATGAAACTTTCAAATTTAATAACAGAATATATAAAATAATTAATAAACAATTATAATACTAACTCAAATAACAATACAATTTGTAGTCTCATAAAATATTCTTAGCAAGTTTAATAACGACAAATTTATTAGTTAAAATATTGAATTAAAAAAATAATAATTTGATGTTCATTGCTGATAAAATATAAGAAAATACAGCTATTGATTTTTAACAGTACCGTATATTGTATTAAAATACTACATAGCATAGTTAAAATGATTTTTAAAATGCTAAATAAAAAGTAAAAATAAATATTTTTTTGATAGTTATAGATACAGTTTGAAATTAGTGTAAATTAATCATTTTATTACTTATCTATAAATGTTTAAATTTAACGTGAAATAAATTTAATTTTCAAGAATAATGCTGATCTATAGTTCTATAGATATAACTACTGTTTAAGTATTTTTAAAAGCTTAATTAAAATATTGATTAGGGATAGATTATTTAGTTTGATTATTTTTCTGCCATATTCTATATAAATATATACTGTAAAAAAATCTTCAAAATTAATTTTTTTTTAGGATATTCCAAAACCTGTCCTGAATCATGGACCATCTTATCAAGTAAATCCTAATTATCAACCTCAACAAATGGGATATCCTCAAGAGCCATATATGGGTCAACCACAAAATAATCAATTTGCCTATCAACAACAAATGAACCAACAGCATCAACAATTCCAGCAACAGCACCCACAAAATCAACAGCAGCTTCCACAACAACAGTTACCTCAATATCAGCAACCACAATATCAGCAGTCACAAAATCAGCAGCCACAGCAAAAACAACAACAGCCACAACAAAATCAACAGCAGCAGCCACAACAACCAAAACAGACTATTTCTCAAAATGCAGTTCCTCAGCAACCAGCTCAAACAGAACAAAAATCTAAAGATCCTCAACTACAACAGCCACAAGGCCAATTACCACCTCTTCAAAATTATGCTCCAGAACAACAACAGTACCAAGCTGTAAATAGTGATTCCATAAATAAGCAAAATATTGGTCGATTAAATGATGTGAATTCAAATAAAATTGAAAAGAACCAAAAGGAAAATTTTGGGAAAACAAGTCATTTGAATAAAAACTTATGAATACATTTTGAATGAATTGTCAAAAAACTTTATATTTCTATATAGATTCCATTTTATCTAAGTATTAAAATTCTTACAAATATTCAAGCTTATTTTTTATTTTATTTTGTATCCTCAACAGAATCGCATCTTCTGATCTCTATGTAATATTTTTATGTGTAACATCCTCAAACTGTCAATTTTATCTTAGCCATTTATACCGAGACATAAAAATCTAACTATTTAAGGTATTACAGTGATCCTGTAAAATCTCAAGTTCTTTAATACTACTTGGACTATAAAACCAAGTTGAAAGTTGGTCTGAAAATTGGATAATTAAAACAAACAAAAAGTTTGCACACCATATTCCTTTCATTATAAAATTAGTTTTTTACTTTTCTCTATGATATAATAATTTCTTGTTCTCTATGGCATAAGACCGAGAACATATTATACAAGAATAGGATATGGCAGTTTGATCATCTCCCCGTGGTTTTTTTAGGACATTGTAAGTAAGTTTCTTAAAACCAAATTTTCTCATATATTAGTTACAAGTTTTTATAATTAAAATAAAAATATAAAATCAAAAATTAAAATATTTGTTAAATTTGGTACTGGAAGAAAAGAAGTATGATGAAGAGTTCCTTCCTGGTTATTGTCATAGGAACTGATTTTGTTTCTGTTAATAACATACTTATTATTATCTACAATAAAATCAAGTTACCAGAATTTTTATCACTTTTATGGGTATGACTTGTAAAATACTTCTATTATATTCACAATTTCTAAAATCAATGCTGATGTGTATGACGCATATTGGTTCTACTTTATAAGTTAATTACTACGATTTTTACGCAAATTATTTGAGAGATTATTGTTGAAAGCGTTTATTCTGTTGATCATATTCATAATTCTTTGTGACTATATAAATATTCTATTATGATGATTTTTTTAAAAAAAATCGTCGATAAAATAATATTGAGCACATTGCACAGGTACGACTAGCGGACTAGCGATGATGTAAAAAAAAATTAATAGGTATCTAAAAACAGCTATTTTTGTTGAATTTATATTTATTTTTATCAATGCCTTTTTTATGCATGGTTAAATTACAATTGTATAAACCTTATTATTAAGTTAAAAAAATGTTTTACTTCACTCGAAACTACAGTCATAACCAAACACTTAAAAAAAAGAAAGCCGTTAAATTCATACAATCTATATAATTTTTGTATAGTAACTAGTAAGCATAAGTGAGGTAAGAAAGATGTTGATAGAAATTACTTGTGTGAAGAAGCCGCCCACTGGCAACACTCGGCCGGCGGTGAATTATATATAAGATAAGAGTTTAGTCAAGAAGTAAAACGCTACACCATTTCCTTTTTAGGGGATTTCGGAGCATTGGGTTGGATAGATTTTTCGCTAGAAATTTTGAGTGATCAGGAAGAGTGTTGTGGTATCGTTTGTAGGATTTAGAGGTGGTTTCAATAACTGATTGTAATTTTAAGTCAATGTGGAGAGTTTGGTTCGAAACATATAGATTATAGAAGAAAGCATTTTTAATTAGGCGTAGGGTTTTGTTTTTGAAAAATTGAATTTTTTTAATATTTAATTTTTGTGCTAAGCCCTAAATTTGCAGAACGCCGTGCGTACAAATAGGTTTTAAAAGACTTTTGTACGTATACAGAGTTAATTTAGTGTTGAGTGGAAGTTTTGATTTCGTGTTAAAGGAATAGTTGAGGCTTTGAGAGTACGAAGGCGATAATTCAGCTTGAGTTTGGTGGCGTGAATATGGTGGACGATGGTTCCATAATCCTCCAAGGTATTTAGTGGTTATTGAGGTATGAATTTCGATATTGTTGAAAGTGACACGATTTCTTTGGCACATTTCTTATTTTAATGTGAAGGTGAAGTGACAAGATTTTGTTTCATTTATGACTAGCGCGGTTAATTATTTAGCATCGAGTTCTTGTAAAAAGCACCATAATAACATGAGATGACTGATGAAACGTTGACGATAAAAGCGGTGATGATAGTGGCGGGATAAGAGATTAGTTGGCGCGGAATAAATTAAACGAATGTTGATGAAATTGATTAAGTTGTGTTATATGTTATATTTTGGACAGAAAGCCAAATTTTTAAGAAACATTTATGCTTTTAAAATTTACTAATTATGCAAATAGAATTTTTAAAATATATAGAACGTAAAATGTGATAAATAATATAAATAAATTCATTAAAATATTGGATAACTAATATTACGCATTAAAACTAAAAATATTCTGACATAAAAAAAATGTTTATAAAATATAAAATTCTACAATATTACTAAATACATATTTAATTATATAACTAAATGCAACTTCATTACTTGAATAGATATTTAATACAAATAACAATTAGATATCAGAAAAAAATGTTTTTCAAACACTTTTAAGAAGACGTCACTTCCGCTCGCACAATGTCTACTTAAATATATCTAACATAGAAAATTTGAATTCAGCAGAACTATTTTTATATTTTTATTTTTTAAATGAGTGTTTTACTTATTATTAAACTTGAAGGTATGAAAATTTTCTAAGGAATCTTCTCACAAGATTTTATTTATACATTATAATCTTAAAATAAGTTATAAATTTATAAAATATTACAATTTTAATTTTCATAAATCAATTTAAAGTTAAAATAGTAATACAATTCTGTGAAATAATATTTTACCTTTAATTTTTATGATAGATAAATTAATTCTTATATTAAAACCAACAACATAAGATTCTGCTGATCAATAATTTGCTATATGGTATACCCATGTCATGGGCGTAGGTAATGGGATTTTAGGGTGTTCAAACATCTCCCGAAATTAAAGATAAAATTGAATAAATAATTCATGTTTAATTTTAATGTTTTATAATATTAATATAGACCTAGATTATAACACCCCCCCCCGGAAAATATTTCCTACCTATGCCCATGGTATATGTATATTAGACAGAAAAAACACATGTGATTTGTTGTCCGTTTAATGTCAAATATATTAGGTATTTTTGACAGTGTGAATAGATATTTGTAATTACACCAACACCACCTACCAATATTCTTATTAGCTTGTCTTCTATAACTCTTAATTCTTATTATTATAATTTGATAGAAAGTTGATAGTAAATTGTAATGCGCACTTATTATTTATATTTTTTATATTAGTACAAAAATAATGTTTTAAGGCGGGTAGTATATCGCGAATCGAGTAGCGTTGCTACCCTACCTAGCAAAAATAATTTATACCTTTATTTATAAAGTAAATTAGTATTTTTTGAATTTGTCTTCAACAATAAAAAAATAAAAAGTTAAGTTCAGACTTAAAATATAGAACACTACCTACTTATTTATTATAATATTATGTAAATTATTTTTATTGAAGTAGGTATATTGCAAATATTATATTAAATATACATTACAATTAATTTAAAAAACATGGATCATCTATTATTATTCACACAAAACTATGCTGATTTTTGAGTTCTATAATAATTATAGGAATTATTTCTAATATATCATAATTTTAAAGCACCACTCACAATGGGTTAGCCTAAGTTTGGTTCTGGAGTTGAATTATTTTTCTCCGGGACTGCTTCATTTGTTTCCGCTTTATCCATAATCTTCTCCGTTTCATTTGTCTGAAGGTCAAGTTCTAATATATCGTAACTCGTAATGAATATCTGCAGTCATTATCGAAATGTTGTTCAATTCCAGAATGGGATTTTCATGATTAAGAACTGCTTCGTCTAATTCTATTCTTTGTATTAATCTCTTCAAGTATTATTGCAGCGCAGGAATCGAGTTTGAGTTATGTTTCTAATTTCTATAACATCCGAAATTGATGTAGAAGTATTGTTACCTATCTTGTTCCTAGATGAGATGTACTTGACTAATGACTTGGAGTTCCTTCATTCGATTCTATTTGTGTGACTGTTTCGTTTATAGGTTTTAATTCTTTAGATTTACGCATTTCCTCCTCCATGAGTAAAAATTGCTTGAGACATTTACAATGAATATTTTAAAGCAAGTAGTGTCGGCAGTGTCGCACTTATACACGGGCTTGATAATGTTTACCTTTTTACAACATATACATTTTTTAAATCGAAAATAAAATTGATGATTTAACAAAATTGTGGTTGTGATCTATATTTTTAGAAATAATATTAATGTACAACTTTTTTGTAAATTCAATCAATGGATACTTTTGTGAAACTGTTTTATTATGATATAAATGTTAACTAATTGACTAAGTTTGAAAACTCGTTACTAATAGTTTTTCGCAAATGACGTTACTAATTATTTTTATTTCAGTCTAATAATATTTTATTTTTTAAAAAGATTCTTTACATTGAACACCCTTGTTTTATTAAATAGAAATGTCGAGTAATTCTACTTATTGGTTTAGATATTTCCCTAAACACTTAACATTTTATATGCATGGGTGTAATAAATTTATAATACTGAAAGAAGTAATACAATATTACAAAAAAAAAAAAAAAAATAAAATATATTTATTTGTATTACAATCAATAATTAATTATTATTTATAATTGAAATCTTGAATATATTTTTGTAGTTTTTAAAAATGAAAAAAATTGTTAGTGATTTAATTGGTAAAAAGTGGGTGGCCTGGATAAATTTTAATCTCTAGGCCTGAATTTGGTTCCCACTCTGTCTCTGTAAATACGTAGGTAAGTCGTAAACGCTAAATGGTCTAAATGTAAGTATTCAATAACAATTTATATTTAATAATATTATTCCAACAAAAATATATAATCTATATTATTAACTACCTATATCTATTATAATAACGTGAAAAATTATTAATTTAAATAATAATAATATGAAATATATCAGCACAATGCCTTAGAACAGTGGTCTTCAAACTTTTTGGACTTGTGACCCAATTTTCTAGCCTGCATTTTTGGCGATCCATGTAAGCTTTATAGAAAAACAAAAAAAGCTAAAATTGCTTAATGCTTTATAGTAGTACCTATACTATGATAACTGAATAAATAAAAATTACATTTTAGTAGGTAGAATATTTATTAATATTTTTATATTTTCATCTATTAAATTAAACTTTTATTTTAAAAAGAAAACTTATCGCGACCCACCGGTTGAAGACCACTGCCTTAGAACTTAGAAGATCTTCTAAGACCGTTTATTTTTGTTATATTGTAGTCCGGTATTGTATTGACCGATTTGACCGATATCATTCCGAAATATAAATACGTCAGACGTCAGAGCATAGTCCAGCATAGAATAATAGACGTCTTAACACTCTTAACAGCTAACACTTCTAACAAGTAACAAGTGATGATAAAAACCAGTTATCCCCGCACCGCACTCTATCATAGTTACAGCGGCTGGAATAAAATACGAATTTAATAAATAATATTTTGACTTATTGGTTCCTTCCTAATGTTCCTATCCTCTATCGTAGCTGATAGCTTCCAAGAGTTTAAATGAAACTGCATAAACATTAAACAGTATAAGCTATAGATCATAGTGAACAGTCTATATTTTATATTGACATAGTATAAAATTATTAATATTTATTTATAATCAAGTGCACTATATTCACCTGATGATTGATACTCGTTTTTTAATGTTTAAACTTTAAAGCAAAATGTTTGGAAACGTAGTGAAGCTCGATTGGCAGAGCACTGCTGAGGGAGAAACTATAATGCAACATTTTTACAATCCGCAGACAAATGGTAGAAAATTTTTTGGTAGGTGACCGACAATTAATTAATCTCGTAACATTTTATGATATACCTGCTCAAATATATATTGTAATCGGTTGATTATTTGGCGAGTCAGTAATCAAATGTTACCATAGGTAACAACTTTGAATTTGAGAAAATCTTTTGAATTTTTTAGGACTATTGGAACGGCCTATATTGCCAAACATAGAAGAAGTATCGTACAAATTGTTTTTTGTCGGAAAAAGCGGAGCAGGAAAATCATCTACCATTGCTCGACTAGCAGGGATATTAAATCTTGATGAAGAGTATGTAGAAACTCGAGGCATACGTAAAAGTAATATTTATTGGCCTGTCAAAGTATGGGACAGAATTATTTTGTTTAGACTGCAATGTTGGGACGCCGGTGATAGAGATATTAAAAAATTTGGACACATATTGCCGGTAAATAGCCATTTTTATTCTTTTTGTTCTCGATGACCAATATTTATTTGATTTTTAATGTGTTGGTTATTGATTTAAGGTGTGTAAAGAAGAGGCAGATGCCATTGTGTTTGTATTTTCCTTTACTGATCCTAGTGGATTAAGTACTATTTCAACAAATCTGCCTATATACATGAATGACAAAAGTAAACCGGCTCCTATTGTTATTGGCACAAAGTAAAGATTTTGTTATTTTAGTATCAGTTGATGTATATTTTTATGGCTTACTTTGTTTATTTCAGGTATTGTGCAGGTGATTTTACTGCTAAAGTTACAATTGATGATATCGATGAATTTGAAAAAACTCAAAAAATCACTATATTGAAAATAAACAAAACTGATGGAAAATATGATTCAAAAGAAACTGAGATTACAGCTTATACATTGAATGTAATTTGTGAACAGTTATGGATAAGAGATCAAAACTATATATTAAACCAGGAAATGGAATCTTCTCAAATTGTGTGACCTAAGTTTCTTCTGTACTTATTAGTATATTTAGGAATTTTAGAATTAATGAACTGATCAACAACATTTACCTAGATCGTTTTTGAAAATGTTAAACACCATTAAATTATTTTTGTATTTTTTATTGAGTTTAGAGTCACCATTCTTATTGTGAAAAGAGGTTAGGGCGCAGGATTTTAGAGGAAACATTCTTGTGTACTTCACATTCACTGAAGACTATATAACATTTCTGTTACATTTAATATATATGTTAATACAATTAATTAAAATAGACATTAATTATAAATGTTCACTCATTTTCAGTATATTTATTTAAAATATTTCATAATTTAGGACTAAATCTCTGTTATTGTATAAAAAAATAACTGTCTAATATCTATCTTGACACTTGTTATATACTGATATGCGTCAACATTTTTAATTATTATTTAAAATAATCGCGTATTTTGGGGTGCTTAGTACCCCTGCCAATATATTTTCATAAATTGCTAAAAGTACACATTTTCTATTATTTTTCAAATAGAACACTGTACTCAATGTATTACACAGATACGTTAATACTTTAACAAAATAAGTATTATATTTTGTACATGTATTAACGATTAATTGTGCCTGTGATTAATATTTATGTAAGTTGTTATTTTTATTCAATTTTTGTACTGTATTTTTTTTAAGAAAAAAAGTTCACTAAAATACTTGATTTTTGTTAAGACTAAAGATAATTTAATGATTATTATGAATTATATATTAATATATATTTTTTAAATGCTTTATCATTCCTAAAACAAAAACTACTTTGAGACTAAATTAATTTAAATAATTAGTTTTCTTTAATGTTATTTGAATATAAAAAATATTTATTCTAAAACAAATATCTATTTTATAAATATATTTTTTTTTATTAAAAAATTTTTATAAAAAAAATATACATTTATTAACAAATTTATATTTTTTTACACGCTATTCTATGGATTGAGACTACAGTGCATAAAGATTGAGTATCTAGTTAGAACTAAACATTTATCTTCCTTGATAAGTGGTCACCAAACTAAATAGTGGCGTCCATACAAGACTTAAACATAAGAGGACAATAGAATTGCCTTATAAGAAAAAAAGGTTAGTCCTTGTTTTCTTAATATAACATAACCTACCTAACTTGGTCTGTCTCTATGTTTCCTGGAACACCTTGGCTCTCAAAAAATATATTCTTAGTTTCTTACATCAAATGATGGTAATATTATTATTTAAAGTGGACATTTTTTTATTTATTCCAAAGATCTACGATTGTAACTGGAATGTTTGCTTATAATAAATTTTGAAAATACTAAACTTACATGATACACACATAAAATCAATTTATCAATATGTTTAATAAATATTCTGTAAACATGATGTATGGACTCAATATACTTAATAAATATGACACTTTGATTGCAAAGATAAATATAATTATTTCTATAATATAATATTAGATAATTATATATATTGTGTATATTAACATTGTTATAAAATATTTGATATAAAAATAATTGAGTTATAATATAAATTTTAATAACTAATAACTAATAAGATATTACATAATACTAGTTTCGATATTATTTAGGGATGGTGTTAAAAAACACATGATTTGTAAATGCATACGGGTCTTAAACTGCTCAAAACATTTCAAAACACGCCTAGAAACATATACAGTTTATATAAATAATAATTTTATGATTAGGGGCCAAAATTATATTCTTTTAAAATAGCCAAAATAAGATGCTAATATTATCTTAAAAAGTTGAAAATATTCTCTTGAGCTAAAAATATGCATTTAAATGCAAAATAATAAATGGATATAAATAGACAAAAATATGCAAGATAATTAACCAAATAATACAAAAACTTGATATAAATAGGTACATAATAAAAAATATTACCTACGTATTAAGAAAAGTTTGATTAAATTATTAATAATATTTTTTTTTATTTTTTTTATTTGCTTTTTATTTAATAATAATTATAGCAAAGCGATTACATTAATAATATTTATTATTTAATTATTTTGCATTTTTAACTAAGAACATTTTTGAAAACAAGTTGATAAATATATTTTATCATTTATATTATTTTTGCCACTACAACAAAAAAACATCCAACATCTATTATACTAAACTATCAAATGTGTAAGTTTTACTAAAAAATCGAAAAAGCAAAAAAAAAGTTATCAATTGTCCTCCCCTGATTAAAATCTTAGTTACGCACAAGAATATCTATTAAAATTAATTGGAATATTCTCAAATATGCAAAAAAAACTTTTGTCATTAACTCATCTGTTTCATGATTTGTAATGATTTCAAACCCCTGCTTGACTACATAGATTTAAAAAAATATAACTCCAGCCCCTAGTTATGATATTAATTTAGTACTTAATAGTAGTGCTGCAGTCTTAATACAATTTTCATAACTGCTTGATATTGGTTTTTCATATTTATTAAAAAAGTGTATAGTAATGTAAGATATATATACTTAATTAATATTCAATGTGTATCTATGGTACTGAATTATAAATAAAATAAAAAAATTACTTTTCACTATCCTCTGTTTTGAATGGAGGAACTGCATTTGTAGCATCACAAAAAAAATCCCTGTCAATAAATATGTAAAATTGTTTTGTTAAATTGCTAAAATATAGAAAAAGTTATAGAATTAGTACTTTGAATTTGGTGTAAAGTAATTAGATAATGTGAATGTTAATGCCATCAAATCCAATCTAGCTTGCATGGCCCCATTTTCACTAAAATGTGTAACGCAATTCATTAGACGTGACATTTCTTCAGATATAGTAACTACAATTTCTGATAATACAGAATACATTAAATCTGGCATAATTGTTTGAACCTAATAGATAAAAAAAAAAGATTATTTATTTTGAATAGAAAATTTACTAAAAATGTGAAATTTATAATTTTTATCAAACCTCAGAATGTAATGCAATTAAATTGGTAATAATTTCTTTGGCATATGGTCTAACATCTTTTAGTTCTAAAAGTGAAGGAGAGTCCCATTCAAAATTGCCCACATACATTGACGGTTCAATTGTCCCAACTAAAGGATCGCTTTTGGTCTCTATATAAGTTTCGAGCAATTTACTTTCAGTATTTTCAAGTAATTCAACAGCACGAGCCACAACAGCATCAATAGCCGGAAAACCATTGTCTTCAAATTCTTTTTTAAATTTCAGTAGCACAATGTTTCTTGTATACTGACTGTTACTTATTGTTATCAAAAGTTTTTGTTCCCACATCTAAAATGTATTATTAATTATTTAGATCATTACACAATTATTTATATATAGGGCCTGGTTTATATGCTCTAAAATCCTCAAAAATATGCACTTTAAAACATGCATTTATGCTCTTATTTTATAGAAATATATCCTATAAAATAAAAAATTTGCAAAAAATCGATTAAAAAAAAGTCTTTAATTTTCATTAAATATAAATAAATAAAATTGAATGTAAGTTATGCGTATTCGGATCACAACAAACACAACTAACGTATGATTTACTAAAACCCACTCAATAACAGATTACTATTTGTCCCGATAGGTCTCAGATAAGATAAAAAAACAACTTCATCAAATTACATGGAATTTAAATATAACTATAAATACATTATTTTAATTAAAATAATGAAAAATATTACATATTATGTATTTAAAAACTGTATATATTCAATAAAAAAAAATCCTAAAATTCAGAAATATGCAGTACACATGTTAAAAAATGAAAAAATATGCAAAATAAAACTTTATATTTTAGATCTATTGATAACAAATCAAGCTTGAAACTTCCCCAGCTATTTTTTAGACTGTTCAGAAAAAACATGCAAATGCATATAAATATGGGCCCTATTTATGTAATATGACAAATAAATGTCTATCCAATTTATCACATCTGCTAAGTAATGAAAATACAGAAATTAAACAACCTAAATATATTTGTTTTTTTTCTTCAAAATATTAATATAAAAACAAACAAACCTTGATAAATCGATAACTTTAATAACTCAAAATATATGTTGTTTCCTTCCTGAAAACCATTGATAATTTGAAATTTTTTAACGGTTTCTTTACACATTATGTCCAAATACAAGTATCTGTATAAGATTCAGTTGCACTGATATTGTTATGTTTACATTGCACAGTGTCTCGATTAATTTATCATTGTTGTATTTTTTATTTAATTCAGTTTGTCGTCAGAGTTGCAATTGATCGATTACGAAAAAAAGTTTAATAGTTATATACTTAGCTTTTACATTTTTATCATATAATAAATAGATATGTAACATTATTATCATTATTGAAATATGTTATGAAATTAAATTGTGTTTATTATCTAATAAATAAATAAATTTTTTTTTTTAATGCCTTTAAGTTAAAACTTTAACAAACTGAAGAAAATTATAATTCCTTTGAATTTCGACTTATCAAGGTTTCATTATATATTTTACATATTGACTGTGTGCCTTAATAACAATTACAACATTTTCATTTTCATTAAACATTTTGAAAAATAAAACTTACCAGATCATTGTGTAGTTTCAACCCTGTAACTGAAGATCCACTTAAAGACATAACTGTGGTAGATGAACAATTGGTATCTGAATTTAAGCCTACTTGTTCCAATACCTTAAGTATGCATATTATGTTATTAAATCTAAAATATTTAATATAATTTAAAATATAATTTGATACCTGTGAAAAGTTCCAAAAACATTTGTGAACCAGTACTTGTAATTCATTTTTTGCAGTTTCATTATCAACTAGTGCAGTTTCTCTACGCTCATCACGGATTACATATTCTTTGGCTAAATTCATCGCTTCAATAATGATTTTATAGAAATCATTGGGCTAAAAAAAATAATAAATATAGAATTTAGTTTATTCAATATTATTGAGAATTAAAATTACCAATTGTGATATAGTTCCTTGTTTTGAATGATAATCCAGTTTCCAAGACTCAGTATTTTTTAACTGTATAATTTGTTCTGACGCTTGTTTAAATAAAATATTTAAACAGTGTAATCTAATTAAGACAATAAAAGACATTTTCATAAAAATTCAATTAGTTTTTATAAAAAAAAATTGTACCTTAAATCAAATATAACACTGGAAATCTTATTTAAAGCTTCATTGGGTAGATCCAAAGCCATTAATACTGTAAATACTGATCGAATTTGTTTTAAACAATGAGGCAACCATATGATAGGCACTGGTGAAAAAGAACTAGTTGTAGTAGTAGGTAACATAATTGTTCTATATATATCAGACACAGTCACAATTATGTCTAATATCATTTCCTAAAAATTATAAATTTATGTTTTCATGTACAATATTTTAAAAATATTATTAAAATATACTTTGAAATCCATTTCATGGCTGTAATCTGGCTTAACTGCTAAATCACCAATAAAGTAATTTTGTCCAAGTTTCCACAAATCAGGAAAGTAATCTGATATAACAGTAGCTATTTCATCAATACATAATACCTTTTTAGGCTCAATGTTCTATAAAAAAAAAATGATTTAACATTACTACATTGCTTATTAAAATAATAAGATGTGATTTAACATACTTGGAGTTCGATTTGCTGTGATAAACTAATATTTCTTTTATGTTTATTGTGTGGATGTCTATTGTTCTTACCTAAAATTTGGAATGTGTCAAATTTAATATTTAGATTTAAAGTATGAATTATTTACTTGGAGTTTCATTTGTTTGTTCTTCCGTTATAAATTGTTGATAACTAGCTTTTATTTTATCAATTAAAAATTGTTTCATATGAATAATTGCTTCCCAACCTGGGTCACCATTGTCATTCAAAGCAACTAAGTTTCTGCAAAGACATTTATTAAAATTTTAAAATTGTATAAACTTAAGACACTTATGAAATTATTTTACATCTTCAAATATCAAATATTAATAAAAAACTGTACTCTTTAAATTTTTTATCTTAGTCTCAAATAATAATGATAATAAAAAAATATATGAACAATTACATACCCTTAAATGCTGAAATATATAAGAATAACAAAACTATTTTGAATATTAATAAATATCTTCTTGTTTATTACTTTATTTTACAAAATAATTTTATTATCTCAAAAAATTAATTTAATTGTAATTTGCTTGTTTCACATCTTATGATCAATATGCATTTAAATCTACCCACATAGAAAAATTCTTCCAGAGACGTCAATAAAACCATCCTTCTTATCATGTCCTAAAGTTATCCTAACAATAGGCTCGATAAGGTCATTTTAAGGATGATCTTAGTATAGTCTCAAATGACTATTTCTATGTACATAGAAACACCCATAACCCATAAATTTATTTACCAATACACCACTGGTTATTGCAGTTATACCGGACACTGTGTAATATATATAATTACCTAATTATTTTTTTTTGTTGTTTCAGAGTTGATGGCATTTGATGAAGTTTTGACTTCAGGTTGATTCGTATATTCATTATTTTGGTTTCAACTTCTTCTAATATTTTCTTGAAAACCTTTAATTGAAATACATAAATATTTCAATATCTTTATAATAAAAATATAAATTATTATACTGACCGCGACTTCAGTTTTACCAAACAGATTTAAAGCCCTTGCGTAATCATTAATAATCACATCTACATCTTCGTTTTTAATATTACGATCAATGTTGATTGGTAATTGAAATAAAAATTTATATCTAGTCATAACAGCTAATGCATTTCTAGTAGCTTCAGCTTTTTCTCTTCTTGTTAAAACACCATGAAATAAATGTGTTGCCTCTTTTAGAGATTCTATAATAATATTTTCATTAGTGTTTAGGTTAAACAACAAAATATTTATTATTCAACTATTCAAAATTTACGGTTAATTGCTTCTTCAACTTTAAAGAGAGTTTCATTATTTCTATCAAAATCAGCTTCATAATTTTGTTTTAATGTAAAAAGAGTATCTAATTGTTCCATAACTGATCCAACATTATCCTATACATTATAAATAACATAATTAAAATAAATTATACCATTTTATTTTATTTTTTAAGCATTAATTACTTTCAAGAAAGACAATTGTCCTTCATTTTGTGAATCTACTTTTCTCTTTAAATATGACAATCCTACTCGTAGGTCATCAAAAGATGTTCCATGATGGTGTTCAAGTAAAAACCAGGCAGGTTCAAAGTTTTCAGATAATAAATCACCAGAACCCTCCGGAAATAATTCAGTTAGTTCATTTTCAGGAAATTTCCTTATTGTGGAATCAAAATAATATATTAAAGTAAACTCTTGACTGATTAAAATAGTCAATAAATATGTACACACTCGTCTCCTTCAACAGATAGACCTAGAGGATCATCTAATTGAAATATGGTGACTGAACTGTTTTGTCTGCCCCAGTTGAGTGGCGCTTCTTCTACCCATACTGCACTCTCTTTTAAAGGGCCAATTGTTTCATGATAACCACGGAACTGAACAGTACTTGTACCAACACCACCAGATTTAGTGACTAGAATTATATCACCACGTCCTTTTCCCGGTCCAGATCGTGCAATGATTTTATTGGGTGATTTCCATTCAGCCGAAAGCATACACTCGCAATCACATATTTTTAAACCTATAAATCCCGTGAAACTTAAAATATTTTTGTTACAAGATTAACTAATATAATTACTCGATAGATCGTTGGGGTTTATGCCTAAATATTCCCCTCTGATCGTCACCCTTGTTCCTGGAGGCCCTTCTTTCGGAGAAATCCCTGTTACGACTGGACTTTTAGCCATCTGTAAATAACAAATAGCGAATCGTCTACGAAATTAAATACATTTGGACGTCTAAAACTGAAAATAAAAATCGGTAGTTAGTAAGTAAAATTCAGTTTCAACTTATCAAATGCACTCCTTTTCATGTGTTGATATCGCTTATCATTTTATCAGTCATTATTCATCTGCACATGTATAACAAAAAGTTCCGGTTTTTAGTTTTCTCATTATAATATGTATTATATATTAAATTTTATTATTTTTTATGGTTTTGAGTTAATGTTTTTGAGTTATTATAAAGTAATTAATAGTTCAATAATTATGAACTAGGTATTCGATCAATTTTAATTTAGGAATGTTAAGTTTTTAGAATATTAAAATGTTTAAAGTCAGATCCTTCGTCAGATTACAAAATGTAATACCACATTTTCCTGTAACCCAGTGAGTAAAATACACATTTGCACAATGTTATACTAATAATCAGTATTTTGAATATTAATTATTTATTAATTTATTATAAATTAAAATCTAACTTTTCTTTGTTGTTATGAGTTTTTATTAATTATTTTCAGAAGACATTTAAAATTAATATATCCACATTTCTCAACTATACAACAAGCACCAGAATATAAAATTTCTGATGAAGGTAAGATTTTATATTTTTAATTAAACATTTTATTTACTGACATTTAAGACTAAGAATAGAAAATAGATTTTTTAGTCCTGATAATAATGTATATTATAAAGAAATGTAAAAATAATTATGAAATATTTAAAAAAACTGATTTAACAAATGTTTTTTTTTCATTTAGATATATCTAGATTGAAAAGGAAATTTGCATCACCGCGTAATATTATTTCAAATTTTTATAATCAAGTTGAACGAACACAGAACATAAAAACAGGCTGTCATTTTGGTTTTAATAAAAACAAAAAAAATCAATGGTCCTGTAAATTAAGTGTTCAATGGCCCAACCCCATTGTATTTTCAAGTGTGGCTACTACCAAAGCCAAAGCTGGAGAAATGGTTTCTTTAAATGCTATTCAATGGTTACAAGTAAGATATTTATTAAAATTATTGAAATTTTTTCTTTTCTCTTATAAATTTTATCATCTTACTTCAAGGGATTTCACTATTCAACTAAAACTAAAATTATTCTTAAGTTGATATTCTGTTAACTATTTAATTTATTAACATAAGCTTAAAGTATTATAATATTAGATTAATAGATTATATGTTATTTTATGATTTAAATTGTTAATATGTATTTAATCAATAAATACTTATACTTTTTCAGGATATGGAAAAACTTGATCATTCAGGAAAGCCATTAATAGTATCAAATAAGCAACGTATAGATGTAGCAACATCACCAATTGCTTCAATTGATTTGAGTGAACAAAATGTTAAATTAATTTCAAGCTTAGTACAAAAATACAATCAGGTTAACTATTTTGAACAAAATAATAACCAATTAAATATTCAAATTTGTTGGTTGTTTAAAGCATATTAAAGAATAATCACTTATTTTTCATAGGAAATTAAACCATTAATAAATAAAAAAAAACCAGCATTAATTGAAGATGACCAAATGAAGGAGGGTAAATTCTATTATTTAATTATATTCGCTTAATAAATAAAGAAATAATATATTTTATTTTTAGATGATTTAAGTTTTATATTACCTTCATTTTCACATTTTGACTATATAAAACGAAACGAATATCTTTATAAAAAAACTACACAAACATCGTCTGAATTAGTCCAATTACCTATAGACAGCTATGAGTATGTTTAATAACAAAACTGTTTACATTTTAAAGAAATTAACACTATATTATTTTGTATATATATTTATATTATTAAAATTTTAGATTTGACTTACTAGACATGATTGATAATAATCGAGTAACTATTATAAAAGGAGAACCAGGGTGTGGTAAAAGTACAAGGGTGCCCAATTTCATTATGAAAAAATGGAGTCAAGAAAAAAAAGGAAGTGACTGCAACATATATGTTACTCAGCCAAGACGAATAAGTGCACTAACACTGGCTAATCGGGTTGCTGAAGAACGATCAGAAGAAGTATATATTAAAAATAAAATTTTACTTATAAATATAATTAGATAGATAAATAATTTTACTCCAATTTCTAGTTAGGCAATGTAGTTGGTTTTCAAGTGCGGTTGAAACAAATATTACCCAGAAAACCGGGCACTATAGTGTTTGCATCTAGTGGCATACTACTTCAGAAATTACAAGCAGACCCTGGACTAAAAGAATTTTCACATGTTATTATTGACGAAGCTCATGAACAAGATATTAACACAGAAATATTATTGATGCTTACAAAGAATGCATTGCAGTTAAATGACAAGTTAAAATTGATTATAATGAGTGCAACTCTAAATGCCGAACACTTCCAGAACTATTATGGCCATTCAGCTTCAACTATTGAAATACCAGGCTTCACACATCCTGTGAAAACTCAATTCTTATCAGTAAATTATAAATGCTTATGTGTTTGGACGTTTGGAATTTTTATGTTGAAATTATTATTTAATGTTTAATTCCAGAAACAATTGGCTAGGGAATGGGGTATTTATGATACAACTGTTGAAGAAAATAATAAACCTTATTGGAATCCACAACTAGCGGCAAATGTAATAAAATGGATAAATAAAAATAAACCACCTGGAGCTATATTATGTTTTGTATCTGGTTGGCAAGACATAATTGATGTAAAATAATACTCATCGTGTTTAATTATTTAAACATTTAACCATTTTATTCTAATGAATTGTTATTTGAATAATAGGTGAATAAACTGTTACAACAAAGGCCTAATAACTTCGAAATAATGTTTGCCCATTCTAAACTGACACCTGAAAAACAAATAGAAATCATGAAACCTGCAAGTGATGGAAGACGAAAAGTTGTGCTGGCTACAAATATTGCTGAAACCAGTATCACTATTAATGATGTAGTATATGTAGTTGACACTGGTATGCAAAATATATCTAGGTAAGGTTTTTAATTTTAATAGTTTTAAATAGTAATTATATTGTTTAATGATGTTATATAAAAACAGCATAGTCTAAATTATTATACAGATGTATATCCACAGTTTTTATTAATTTTTTTAAATGGACAATTATTATTATACTTACAGTTTTAGATTAATAATACAACAGAGAATTTTTAGAGTTTGTAAATACTATTAAAATTAATTCCATTGAATCTCTATCTGTTTAAAAATAACTAACTTTAAAATTATAGTTTTTTAATGTTATTTATATGTAATTGTGAATTGTAATTTGTAAGATATAAGTATTTTATGTACTCCAATCATTAAAATATATTATGAATTTAATTACTGAAACTATGCTCATTTTAATTTATAATACTTTAAAATATAAACATAAATATTAATTTTATAGTTGGAATGCAGAAAAAGGTATTAAGTTATTAGATCGTTGTTGGGTTTCTCAAGCTAATGCAAAACAAAGAAGAGGTCGTGCTGGAAGAACTCGACCTGGAGAATGTTACCATTTATATTCATTGGATCGTTTCAAAAACTTCTCTGAGTTTCCTACACCAGAAATCCAATTAACTCCTCTTGAGCATACTATTATTACTCTTAAGGTAATTATATATATATCATGCATGTCTTATACTATATCATATAATTAAATGTCAAATGATTGTTAATATTATCTAGATACATAGTCAGGATAAAGCAAAAGTTGTATTGTCCAAGCTTTTGAATTCACCTAGTGTAGAAACCATAGATATCGCCGTTTCAGAATTACAACTTCTTGGGGCATTAGACAAAGAAGAGAAACTAACAGCATTAGGAAAACGAATAGCTGCATTCCCATTTGATCCATGTCTTTCAAAAGCTTTAGTTCATTCTGTATTTTTAAAGTGAGTAACAGCTTTTCGTTGAGTTATATTCTATTATAGTTTGATATCCTCATTAAATTAATATTTTGATTAATACTAATAATTAATTTTAGATGTCTAGATTCTACGTTAACAATCATCACTTATTTATCAAGTAATGTGAACATATTTAAAGAAACTACTGCAGTCGATTCACGAATTATAAAAAAGAAGTATTCTTCGTGTAGTGATCACTTGGCTGTGGCAAAAATATTTTCTGAATGGAACAGCACACAAAATCGTTATAATAATGACAGTAATACTTCATTATCATATAATAATCTTATACTTATAAATAGTGAGTATAAAATTTATTTAAATTATTACTAATTTTATTAATTTTTAAGAAAATACATAAAAATTATCTTGTAGGTAATTGTTGAGTGTCTTAAACAGTGTTATTTAAATTTTTTTACAGAATTGAAAAATTTATTTACCCAACATTTGTATAATAGTATGCTCATTGAAGACAAAGACGCTAATAATTTAAATTTAAACTCAGAAAAATCATTAGATCAACTAGTACCAGCTGTGCTAATTTCTGGATTTGGAAATTTAGTTTTTAGAAGATCATTTATGAGACGGAATGGACGTTTAGATTATTCATTTATTAATGAGTATAAAATTTATTGCGTTTATAAACAATTTAAATTAGATTACAATTATAATTTTTAATTTTTATTTATTTATTTAGTGCTGGAATTAAAGTTATACATCATTCAGAAAGTGTAAATTATAATAAAAATAAAGAAAATGAGTTATTAACTTACTTTAGAGAAGGTAGATCACTTGACCATAATGTTGTAATGCTTAATAAATCTTCATATGTTCCTCCAACTTTAGCTGTATTATTTTTTAATGGTCAAGCATCATTTAAACATGTAAGTTTATCATTAGAATAGTTTAATATACATTATTTTAGATTATTTTACATTTTAAATAAATTATTTCCTCAGGATGGACACAACAATTGTTTGATATACATACAAAATGGAAAACGTGTTAATATTTCTTGTTCTAAAGGGTGAGTTATAATATGTAGTATAAAATTAAGATTATGATTAAAATAATCTTGTAATTATTGTAAAAGATATCATGTTCTAAAATATAATGAAATTATTTTTATTATTTTTTTACTTAGGTATGTTAAGCTCTTTTAAGTCAGCTGGGAAAATTTTATTTTTATTTTTTTTCAGTTAACCCAGTAACTTAAGGGCTATTTTTGCATTTATTTGGTCTCTACACCATTCTACTATATGTCAACTAATAGAAAATATTCTGATCTATTCTCAGATACTTGAAAATAACATTAATCCACTGAAACCTGGATCTCTCTTGGGTGACCCTTATTCTGTTTATTTTTTGACCCGTACTTTTTCTTTTATAATTATTCGTCTGTTTTCCAAATGTGTTCATAACTCTAAATCAATATTTATTACTGATAACTGCTAGTATGTTTGGTTTGTTGTACAATTTATGCAGTTTCTTGTTATTTTCTTTCATATTTTTTTTTCTTTTAGTTGAAGTATGGCTCAATATTCCCTGGAGTATTTTTGAAGTAAAAAAAAAAAATATTTATAATAAATGTTTCTTTATTTTTCAGTGATTGGGAAACATTATTATCCCTAAGAAATGTAATAAGGAGTTTTATTGATTTTCTGATGGAGACATATGGACATTATGGCACTAATGATCAATCATTTGATGAAATTATGAATTTCCGTGATTCTGTGTGTTCTGTTTTGTGTAAGCTTGTTGAAAAATGATTTTTTTAATTGTTTATCTCATAGTTTTGTAAAATGTTATTAGTTTATAGACATTTGTATTACGATATATAATTTTATTGTATAAAAGAATTTATCATGTATCTTGTGCAATTTAAATACAATACATCTTATATTTTTATTCATGTAATCCAGTTGAAACAATGTAATTTGTGTATTGAAAGTAATTATTATTATTATTAAAAACAAGTTTACAAAAATAATTTTAAAATAATAGTTAGTATGTTATTTTTTTTGTTTTTATTATTATCTATTACGTTCAATACTCAGTGAAATAATTTGAGGACTTATTCTGCCTCTCAGAATTATGAAGTCTTTAAGCGGGCTGTATTTTGCAACATTCAAAGCATTGCATTGTATATAATAATATGAATATAGAGTTGTAATTAATATAAAAAAAATATATTCAATAACCTGTATACTGTTTGAAAAAAATAAATAGTTTAGAATTTTTGATTTGTCAAACAGTGAATTCCTAAATTTGTAATATTTTTGTCAAAACATTAGTTTAGCCATATACATGATTTTCATTATAAAATGACTTTTTAAATGTTTAAATAAAAAAGGTAACTTTTATGTTAAATTTACATAATTTTATACTTATTGTTTTATACATGATTTCTAGCAATGTATCTTTTTAGATACACGAATATTAGTATTGGTTTATGGCAATGTATCTTTTAAAATACAATTTATAACTTTGAACTTTCAAGTCTAATATTTTTTTTTTTTTTTGATAATATTTTTGAATTCAGCGACCTTGAATTAGTTTGAAAATATCTACTTGAAAATTTTTATTCCAATATTTTCATGGTTAATCTTATTCAAATACATATTATTAAATGTTATTACTTGTTAACATGAACAAAATGAAAAAAAGATCTCAATAAATTAGTCATGCACTGACATTAGATCTCTTCAATCCAACATTAATATTTTAAAATATTTAAATGAAACAAACAGTTATAATTTAATATTTTATTATATTTTATACATAATATGTATAAAGAATACAAAAAAATAATGAACTTTTGAAGAAATATCACATGAAATTTAATTCAATAGATTCTGATATTGTTCCACGATATTAATAGTCACAGCTGTCGAAGTATTTATTTTTTAGCTCAATAAAAAAGATGTATTATTATCCACGTACGTCAATATTATTAGTGATTGAAGTTAACATTGGTAATTAATTTAAATTTTACACATAATATATCAATTTCCATTTTATATATTGTATAATTTAAAATAAGATCAGATTGCCAGAACCATAGGCCTATAAACTATATCATCTGTGATATATCTATGACCGAAATATATTAATAGAAAATATTCAAACTAAATTTAATAATTTTCAAGAGTTATAAAAAACTAAAAATACAAAGTTAAAACACGTCAAATACGGTTCGTAATATTAAAATATGGTCAGGTACTCAAGTGACATTAGTCGTGGATAATATAACGTGAATTATTGTTCTGTGGTATTATTTATGGACGACACGATATTACTTATCACTTTATCAGTTTCAAATTTTCTTATCATTCTGCGTAAAAAATTAAGTAATTCGCAATTATTCGTAAATCGTAATATTCGTTTTCGGGTTAGCCGGTTGTCGAGTACAAAACTAGACCTATAAACTAAATATTTTTTAAATTGTAGTTACATACGTATTGTGAATTTAATTTTTTTGTTACGTTTAAACAAGTTTATTTTCCTGTTGAAGTTTTCGTCTTTTCACAAGGATCAATATGTTTGTGACAAAGTGTTTGGTATGTATACTCTGGTATTTTTATAGTTGTTTGTTAATCAATTTGGTCTAACTATAGTGTTAAGTATTGCAGTTATCGACAACTGAATCTCATTTTTGTACTGGAAATTGAAGTAACGTACTACTAAGTCAGAATTGTAATTTGCACTGTTGGTTAAATGTTAAGGACATGAAGTCTATTAGAACAGTATTAGTATATTATGTTATGTATTAATCTTATGACAGTTAATTTAAATTAACAATAAAATTGTAGGTACAGTGGTGAACAATAAAAAAATTTCAGGCTGGGAATATTATTTAATTGTTCCAGTTTTTTTACCCTGGATATATTTAGTGGTTTTATTAGGGTTTATGCATTCTTATTTTAAGTTTTATAGAGCATAATGCCTTCAAATTAAAAATTATTAAACAAAATAACTGTTATTTTGCATTAGTCAAAAAAGAATCTAGTATTAAATTAAAAAAAAAAAAATTTACTTAGATAGTTTTTTTTCGAATAAGGTAATTATTTTTATTTTTAATAATTTAAATAATGTCTTAACATTAATATTATTCAATATATTTTTTCTATAGCTATAAGCAGGAATATCTTTATTATTTGAATGAATATAGTCTGTTACATACTGGGAAATATCCCAATATTACATTGGCATAGTCTGTCACTGGCTAGGATTCATTAATAATAGGATGTATATCAAACACTTAATTAAAATTTAAAATTTGTGATGTTTTCATTTTTGTAGGCACAACAATTTTTCAAGGTTGCTAGATTACAATCTTTCAAATCAGCTAAGATGTGCTTACCAACTATTCGTCATTATGGTAGTGTTTATGAGCCCGATTATCTGGATATGTTAAAACCAGATATTCCTGAATGTGAGAAAGTAAATATTCAAATTAAAGGTTACGACTTCGCTATATTAGAATCGTTTCAAAAATTTGTGCACACTATTGCTGAAAATATGGACCTTGATGTATCTGATGGGTGATTACTAGTTTAATAAGTTTTTTTGTAGTTTATAAAATATTATACCATCTGTTATCTTCTTTTAGTTGGGCATTACCTCCTCAAACAATTTTAGCCAAACGATTTGTGCCCAATAGTGAAAGCATTGAAACCCAATATACACTGAATGTATATGAACGTAACTTACAAGTATGAACAAGAAATGTTATGTATTATATTCCTTTTTTAATTATACATTTTTAATTTCTCTAGATTGTTGATGTTCCCTATACTAAGCTTTCTCTACTCATTGAGGTAATAGAAGACTCAATGCCTGCGGGTGTTAAGGCATCAATTCACAGACACACAGATGATCACGAAACACTCAGGTACATACCCGACAATGAACTGAAAACGTTGAAAGAACAATTAGAAGAAATGGGTGGCTCAAGAAAAAAAAAGTGAATTTATGATTTATTTTTATTGTTAAATCTGTAACATTATGTAGTACCTAGGTACCTAAGTATAATTATTTTGTAAGTAATATAATATGATTTGTGAAATTTAATTATTGCGTTTTTATTATAAAACACACTATAATGATAAAGTTTGTATTTATGAACATAATTTTTTATGCTATCTTTTATTACTCAATTGTTATTAAAAAAATATGAAAATCACTATTATAATGAGTAGAGTTTGGAAGTTGATAACCTTAAAAACATTAAATGAAAATTGACCTTAAAAAATAAGCAAATAAGACTTAAACATCACAAAAACAACCTAAAAAATTATAAATATTTATTTAAAATTAGTAAAAATACATTTTTTTTTTTAAATAATAGTAATAATAATAAAAATTACTCATAACTGTTAAATTGTACTATTAAGGCATGTTTTATATTGTTAATAGTAAAAAATGATACCTAGCAATTGTCTTATTCTATTAAATCTTTATCTTTACCTAACCCATATAAAACTTGTGTAAAATATTATTTTATAAAATATAAATTTGACGTAGGTATTTATATACAAAATTTAAAATTTAAATTAGTTTAGATTCACATGTTTATGAAACAAATCTGTGGTCAGGAGATCATCATCTAATAAGTTCCAAGGTGAATAAGACATGAATAAAACAAATAAAATTGTTTTGAAATATTTAAAAAACAAAATATTTAATAAAAAAATATAAAAATAAATAATAAAGTATCCATAATATCCATGGAAGTAAAAAAATAGTGTACAATATTGGTACAAAAATAAATTTTTCATTAAAAACTAAATTTGGTATATAAATAATATTAAATTATATAAATAAATTGTATAACAATAATAATAATTATTATATTAAATATTTTTTAACAATAATAATAATAAAATATATTTTAACAACAGCATATAATATGGCATTAATTTGGTACAATTGGCAAGAAAAAATATATAAAAGCTTAAAGGTATATCATATTATACTTCATAAAATAAATACCAAACCACCTTAATGAGTATTTATATAATCTATTTCTTATAAGTAGTTATAAATATTTTAAAATTAAAACATTGGCATTGTTAAAGTTTTTAAACCTTGTTTCATAAACAAGTATGTGCTGACACATAAATTGAATTCAAAGTTTATCCATCACATATCAACATAAATTTAGGCAGTCTTAATAGTTTACTAATAATACATTTGTTTACTGTTTAAATAATTTGTTTTGATAAAAAAAGATCATACAATACCAAAATGTACAACTTTAATAGTTTTATCAGGTTGTGGTTTAGTCGAAATTTGACTTTGTTGATTATTGTTCTCTAAATATTGTTATATACAAACATATTAAAAAAAATATATATACATATGAAAATATCTAATTAGAAAAAAATAAAAATTATTTAGTGAATATATTTTATTTTAATACAAACCTAAACGGGTATTTTGAGTGAGTAATTGTTGTTCGAAAGGATATTTTAAGTGCGGTACACTGTCCAATGATGTTGTTGGTAGCTCTATAGTTTTTGGGTGAACACGATCAATATGAGAACTTGTATACTATATTAAAAAAAAAAAAATTCAAGTTAAGTAATCTAAAAACTATTCATGGTTTTATTTAAAATTATTACATACTGGTACACTAATAGTTGTAACATTATTCAGGGATCTGTTGTTTGAAATTGATGGAATGAATAATGACGGTGAAGAAGTTGCGAGGGGCACGTTTGGCAAAGGTGGCCTTAATGAGCTTGATGGGGAATTTGAATGACAGTCTGTGCAATCACAATCAGATGACTGACTAGAATGTGAATCATCTGATTCTGAAGACACAATTTGATTTGCTTTCTCCAATGCCATGGTTGCCATAGCTCTAGTGCCAATCCCTGATTTTGTTGCCCAATATAGATCCATAAATAAATCTCTGTCATTCAAATCAATGGCTAAACTATATGCTTTTTCATAAAGTTCATATCTAAAATCCAAAAAATCGGTTGGTAAATTATTTTAACATAAAATGTAATTAACAAATTTCATTTATAAACACCTCACTAAATGATGAAAAAAACGTCGTGCAATGTTTCGAACAGGTTCAAAATATTGATGTTTAGCATCTTCACTCAATGGTATAACAGGTTGGTAGTAACTACCGATTGCAGATTGTAATTGCACTGTTGTAAATTTAATATAAAGTTATTACAGAACTTTGTAATATATATTTTTTTAATAATTATCAAGATAAATGGTTATTTAATAGTTAATAGTCAACTTACCTTCTCTTACAGGAGTAAATGGCAATCGAAACAAATAATTTGTTATTTGTTGTAAGGTCGTTAAACATATTGGCCCTTCAGAATGCCAATCTAGTCCCAGTAAAAAGTTGAGTGCGTGATCGACATCATTTTCATTCAAGTACATGGAAACCAATTGATTTACACATAACTTTCCAATGCCAAGTACTTTAATGGCAATCACAGGGCCCCTAAATGTATAATATAAATAAAATGACTAAACATAATATTAAAAATATTGGTACTTTTCAAACACAAGATGAAGAATGGCATCAGATTGATTCACAGAATGTTTTGTTATTTCATTTGGCATCCATTTCATGGAGAAAAGTTTTTTGTTCCCAACTTTAGATTGCATATCTAACCAAGTTGATGAACTTGCTTCTTCTGTCAATGGCTGTAGACGAATGCATGACAAACATGAATCATAACATTGTATTCTACCATTGCTATCTGACACAGCTATCATATTACCATCTGGATGCCAATCCAAAAACTCCACGGGCTAGTCAATTTCAAACGCACAGGTTTTAGTAACAAATATAGTATTCAATATATTTATTATAAAATTCAGTTCTTATATAAAATGTTTTCAGACACATGTTATTTAAGATTATACACTGCTACTTTATATGATTATTATTATTTACAAGTTTTAATTCAAAAGTTATTTTATAATTTGTAGATTTAAAAAAAGAGAGATTTTATAACATAATGATTGTTAAGTTTACTGAATAATAAAAAATAAATTTTAAAATTTTTTAATTATAAAAGATTATGACTTAGTACTTATTATTCATAAAGTTGAAAGATGATAGTAAACAATGTTAATAATTATTGAAAAATATTTGTTTCTCCTATAGTCCTGTGTACAATTAATGAGACTCAAGGAAAAATATAGTAGACACAATTAAAATAACATGTATTATAAAATTATAAGTAACAAGTAAGCTATAATTTTAAAACAAAAGTTAAGAATAATATTATTTATTTTTATATTATTTCATGAATGTTTTAATAGTAATAAAATAGAAATAAAAATCAATCTACTTACAAAATCAGTTTTTACTGAACATGTGATAGATAAATTGAAATCATGGATAAATAGTACAGAATCATTGTATGAGAAACATATACGTGTGTCATCTTTGTTTAACCATGCATTAACTATGGCGGCAGAACACCAATCAAATGGACTAATTGTCACTACCTTGACTAGATGTAATTTGGTATTGGTCACTTCAAAAGTACTAAAATCGATACGAGGATCGTTGCAACTCTAATAAACATATAACATTGTTGAAAAAAATAATAATATATTTTTGATAAAAAAACAATTCACCTTTTGTTCCAAAATGAATATAATATTTGATATTGTTTTACTAAATGATACAATAAGAGGATCTTGTTTCGTATGATAATAGCAACAAAGTTCTAGCCGAGGCCTAAACAAAAATGTGTAATAATAAAATGCTTATACCACAAGGTTGGTATTTATTTCTATTTTCATAGACTTTATACCAAATACCAAATGATTATAAGGTATGTTTATTTATTTGTCTTACCCAATGATTTTATATACATGAACATTTGCTCTATGTTCATCTTTTACTAACGGATTCCACGGATAAACTTCATTCAATGAGGACTTTGACCATGTAGCTACCATTGTTGCAGAAATATTGAATGTAATCTTTCGTTCATTTTTTCTGTTAGTAGTAGAATTGCTGAAATCAGATAATCCAATTTTTGGATCGAGAAAGGACCATTTGTTCAGTGTGCGATCGAATGGACGTCCAAAATATATAATGCCCAATTTGTGATCCGAAAATGAGCATAACAGTACTTGTTTTGCATAAGATACTGAAAAAGAATAAATTTGACTTTAAAATTTTGTTAACAATATTAAGAGTCATAAACTCATAACATACCATTAATTAGCTGTTCGCATTGAAATTTTGATTGCAAAAATTTATCTGTGACAATTTCAATTATATCACAAGTAGCAGGATCAAATGTAATAAATATAGTTGATCCATTACTAACTATAAATGCAATTTTGTCTTTTTTTATCCATTCAACGGCAATTAAACGATGTTCATTTAATTCAATCTGAATATTAAGATGTAAAATATAAATTGTTTGTCAGACATAGTGCATTATAGGTTACTTACTTCAAAATATTTTAAAGAATCTCTTAATTTCATAGGTCTCTTATTGGACACCGACCAATTACATCCGCTTGCTTCGACATAGTTTTTCTTGATGATCTTATCTGTAGAAGTTTCCGTTTCTTTTTTTTCATTATATCTACATATGACATTAATCATTGACGACATTATAGTATAAAAATATAAAAATTTAAAAACGGATACCACAGAAATGCATTTAAAATTGATGTGGACCGTGCAAGATTGACCAAACAATAACTGTTCGTACGTACTTGAAGTGACTAAAATCTGTATAGCTGACGTTCAGATCGTTTTTCAACGTCCAGTAGTGACATTCACAGACGAATGTAAGCATTACACTATTTCAGTCGAATAAAATGTGTGTACACGTATAATTCATTTCATGTAATGTTTGCAATTGGAATGGATACACATCATATCATAGGTACATGGAATTAAGGGAATAAGCAATCAATGAACCAAATAATATCAATTCAATACGACGAGTAATTATTGAAATGCACTAACGCGAGATAACGATCGGTGATTGTAAGTTTTTTTGGGGGAAGTGGAAGACTCTTATGTTTATTTTACAGTTATTTGAATATTATTATTATTATATTTACGATGCGAAAATAAAATAAAATTGTTGTTGTTGCCAAAATAATTTGCTCGTTATCACTTATCGCGAAACTCTAATCAACAAGTGGCTCAGACAAGTATAAATGGTTTTTGCTGCCACGTCCGTTATTTTATTATCCAAGACATATACGTATAGATAATAAGGTGATAAGGTTTATCATCTAATATCTATAAACCTTGCTTTCAAGATTACTCTTTTTATCACAATTTATTTTGTTCATAATACTTGTAGCATATTAAAATATTTTATTCATAGACATAAGATAATACGATAATTGTGCATTCGTGCTACGAATTTGGGTGTTAGGACGTCGTGTCGTTCGTATTATTATACGATGAGGCTTACGGAATACCTGAGAGACTTTAAGAAAGTCGGAGAATTGACGAAAAAGTATGCGAATTTACCGGATTCTTACATCAAGCGTAGCATGGAAAAGGTAAGTGCGAAAGTAAAGAAATACGAAATTCCGTTAATGAAAACCTTTCGCGTAGATTGTATGGAAAACGCCACAGAACAATCCTCGTTACTTGCCAAGGACGGTTAAAAAGAAAAAATATCATTTTTCTGAGCACAGGCCTTGGTCGATGCCATTTCAAAGTCAAAACAATTTTGGCGAGTTAAAGCCAAAAGTATTTTTGGAACCAATCAAAGATTGGTCAATTTTTAAAGGAGATAGAGTGAGTATTAAGAAATTACAATTAATTATAATCATGGAAATCCAATGTATGTTTTATTTATAGGTCGAAATTTTGGTTGGACCTGATAAGGGAAAACAGGGAATCGTTGGACAGGTGATCCAAGAACGCAATTGGGTAATTGTTGATGGTTTAAATTGTGAATTAGAAGAAGTTTCTCATTATAAAGGACACTTATCAATGGTTCAAATGAAAGAAATTCCACTATTAGTAACTAGTGAGGTTGCATTAGTAGACCCGTCAGACTTGTGAGTAACTATTTTCTTCAAATAATTAAATTAATAGGTATTTTGCTTTATTTAAAATGGTCAATTACATTTATATTTTGTTATTTTCAGACAAGGCTGTACTGTTGAATGGAGATTTACAGAGAATGGTGATAAAGTACGAGTGTCTTCCAGAAGTGGAAAAATAATTCCAATTCCATCATTAGCAAAGCAAACTTATGATTACAAAACACCAAATACTTATAAAGGTTTGTAGATGTCTATTACTTAATTCTAAATTTATAAACCAAATTAAATAGTATGTTTAAAATTAGATTAACATACATTTTAGTTAACTAGTTTAGAGATATATTATTTAAATATTATAGTACTTTATAGTCTGATAAAGTTTTATAACAATAGTACTGACAATTTAAACATCTACATATGATATTATGAATGTATCATATTAAAAATGTATATATGTTTTACCTGTTTACCTCTATACTTAAAAAAACATCAACAACCATTATCTATTTAAATAATTGGTGTTCATATAATTTAATACTATATTCTGTAAAGTAATAAAATGCATAGAAGAAAAATAAGAAGAACCGATTTTTGTCAGGCCACTATGTATTTTTTTTGTTGGACAGAGTGTAGAAGCATTTTAAACATGAAATTATCTATTTTAATTTTACTGTCAATTATTATAGTCAATACCAATTGTTTGTACACATTTTTTAATGAATTATTGTTTTATTATTAATATGCTTTATTTTTAGAAAGTGAAAAAGATACTTCAGCAGACGATATAAAAAAAATAACTTTTGCACCTTTATTGAAAACATTTGAAATGGATATCATGGATGAAATGGATATCAAAGAAGATAGAGTACCAGCTCCAACTTATTGGTATTGATTGTGTAAAATTGAATTAGTATAGAAATCTTTTATAATAAATTTGAGCATTTTGAGTTTAATTCATTTAGTGTAATGGTTATTGATAATTACTATTTATAATTAATGTAACATGTAATATATTATATAGTTTTGAAAACAAAATGAAGTTATAAAATATCATTGAAATATGACCAAAAATTTTCTAATAATATATAAGCTTGATACTTGGTGTACATTCATTATTTTACACAAAAGCGAGTCATGTACAATTTTGTATACACAATTTTAATTACGTTGTAAGTTTACTTTGAAAAAACAATTTTAGGGAGTATAAAACGTTTTTGGTGATATTTTTAGTTTTTTATTTAACTAATTAATATATATTGTTTATTTGCTATGATAAATACCAACTGGCTATTAATAATTTAGATAGAAATGTGGATTTATAAGTAATACATAAGCTTCAAGAAAACAAAATTTAATTGAGTAAAATTAGAAAAGGAATAAGGATAAACATAAGTACTTTAAAACATTTGATTAAAATAGATAAAAGTAAAATTCGATTGATCACCTAAGCATTATATGTATAAGGAAATTATGAGTTTAAAGGAATGCAATAAGAAGTTTAATTCTAGAAGATATATAAATTAACTTTGGTTAAAACATAAAGTTGAAGGAGTTTAGGTGAGTTTATTTAGTTATTTAGATCCAGAAGAGCAATATTTAAGTATGAGCATATACAATGAATTAATAAGGACCAAGTATGATTAGTGGTGATATCTTTGGGTATTGAAAATAAAAATTTTCAAAAATACTGGTTAATAAACAAAATATAAAAAACTAATCATTTATTCTTATAATTATTTAAAATTAATTTCTTTGTTAACTTACATTTGATTAACTAAAATAAAATTTTTATTCATGACTTGTTAAATTTCAATAGTTGAAAAAGCAACTCAATATACTTTATTTATAAATGAAATTTTAATAGAATCTAGAATATTATCTTTAGTATTTATCTTAAAATGATTTATTATTTAATTTAAACATTAATGACAAACTAATTCTCCATTATTACCAATCAAAGTATTTAAAAGAATTAGTTATTGAATAATTTATAGAAAAAAACGGAGGTTCTTATGTAAAAAACATAAATTTGAATTACCACGGGATGTTTTTTCAACAACACAAAAAAATCTTAAGAAATTCAAAAATTGAATTTTGGTTTTAAGTTGGTATATTTAAAAATTCCAAAAATTAGAATTTGAATAAATTTATTATAAATATAAATGTAACATTTGTGGTTGAGTGTGTTTGGTGAATCACCTTATAAATATTGATTGAGCACAATTTTCTTTTTTTCTTTTTAACTTCAGTGAACTTCACTATAATCTCTATTCGCTGTTTTAAACAGTTTTCATGTTCTTTGAGAGTCGATACGAGATTGATGCATGTGTATAGGTACAGGATTGCTTATTATTACAGTAGACAGTTGTGCGCACTTAGTCTCATATACCTGAAAAGAAAAAAAAATTCTAATTTAAACTAAATAATACGGTGTATTGTCAGCATAATAAATTACGATATTTATACTATGCCGTCGTTGTGTCGTAAATCGAGTGTACAACCAATGAGCTGGAAAATTGGAGAACCACAAAAATATAATTTTGTTATTTTAGAGATAGTTTTTAGTGGGTTGTTACATATTGTAAACGATTTAAAACATATATATATATATATATGACGACGGTTGACAAGTCCAGTAAATTGTAAAAAGAAATTAGGAATCGCCGGATTTGGAACGTGTACCTATTTATTTTAAAGCAGTTGTAAATATCATTATTTTTGGTAAAATAGACTACAGGCAGAGGTCACTTTTAAATAATTGGATTGGTAAAGATGCGATGACAAAAAGATGCATTGTGGTCATATATATGTAGTTGACATTCGGTAAAAAAATTATGTATAATATTATTATATTTTTATTTCATTTAAAAATGTGTCGTTTTTTTTCATAAGTTCGGAAGTCATTAAAAATAAATAAATAAATAAATAAATACTCTTCGCTGAAAATTGAAGTGGGTTTCTCTACTTCACTGTAGTAAATACACTTAGACACACACACACATATAATATACCTATGTATTATATATCATATATAGTTTAAGTGGTCTATTTCAGAATAGACAGGTAGAGTTTTGAATATAACAATATAATGTAATATAATATTGTTGACGGCAAGATTTCCGTCCTCAGGCTATCACTTGCGGGATGACTGTCAGTGCTCAGTTTGATTTTAGATGGTATCGTCTTCAAAGACCATGCAATTTCAGTCAACAAAGAAATATTTTGATACGTACCATCTGATGTTTATGAGTTTACGGTAATGATGCACGAGAGTTTTTTTATTTTTATAAAATACACCTCGGGATTCTTTTTCTTGTTATTATTATTATTTAATGTTTATTTTATATTTCGTTTAATTATATTTATCTAGGTAAAAAATGAAGCTCGATTGATGATTAGATAAATAGATTCAATATTTTAGACCTAACCCTGCTTAACTCGCAAAACAATTACCAATTTAAACTTAGATAATAACAGTTACTTGATAGTGCTCCTAATTTCATTTGTTTTCAATTTTAACGCTGCAGAGTACTATAAACATTTCTGGGATCAGTGGCGTAAACTGAACCCAATTTTTGGTGGTGCAGTCGTACAGAGGCATATATTCTCAATCTATAATTTCCGAAACACCTATAATCCAACTTCCTAAGTAAAATCCTTCCTAATAAACTATATATTTTCCCATAAATTTCTTTAAATAATAAATACATTTTGAATTATTTATAATTATTTGGTAACTACAAAATTCTGTGGTTACCATAGATAATAATCTAATTATCTATGGTGGTTACAAAATTTTAGAATATAGATAGGGATAATAATTTAATTTATGAGGTCTAATACATGCACGAAAATTACAATTTTGTACCTGTTTATGTATATATTATACAAAAAAAGATAGTTACAAAATTAAAAATAATATTATAGGTATACAAATTTTATTTCAATGATTTTCATGTGGTGCAAAAACATACCTTTGTACCAACATATTTTAGATGTGGTGGTGCAAATGAGCATTTGCACCACCCAGTTAACGCCAATGTCTGAGATAAAAATGTATGGTCTAGATCTTAAGCAGTTAAGTAGTTATTAGGTTATTATAATACAGCCGTGTGTAAATTCATCCGATTTTTAAACATTTAGTTGATTTTAGGATAGGATTTATAACTTCATGTAAATTTCACTGGGACACAATTTTTTGATGTGCAAAAATAAATGTGAACTTTGCTGCGGAACTAAAACTGTCTTAAGACAATGTAAATACTACCGCTATTGTAAAAAAAAAATCAAATATTTTTTTTTCTTCCTTTATTGTTATATTATACACAATCTGTACCTCAGTCCTCAAGGGTACAATAAGAGTATTGGCTATTGGCTAAAATAAATACAATACATGAAAATCTTGATAAAAGCAGTCACCCAATGATGACACTTTTAAGTGAGGTTGAATCAAATCTAAATTTTTATACATACTTTTTACTCATTTTTAGAGATGGGAGCTTGGTAAATTTACTTGGTAAATGTTTATGTTACCGATATTATTTTACACGGTTAACTTTTTTTGCCGTTTGTAAAATCGAGTAACCTTACATTTTCAATGGTTTTCGTGTGCACAATAACGTTATTGACGTTCTATCGTTCTATGTCTACTACAATCACAGTACAATGTTTATGATATCAATACGTCAATATAAGAGAATGTTGGTAGGTAAAACCTGGATTTTATTTTTATCGCCATTTCCTTGATTTGACGAAAATAAATATTGTTTCTACCACGGTCTTCTAAGACCGTAGTAGACCGAGGTTTCTACTAACCCGCCACATTATACCAACCTAGTAATATTTATAAAATAATTTATGTGATCATTGATCAGTGATTTCTGACTGTGAAGACACAGAAAAAGAATATTATATTACAAAATATGTAGTTGAATCCATTGGGCATAGATCATCTGGTTTATACTACTACTGAGTTTAAAATTTATGGTTGAATCTGATGAAAATAATATTTTAAGTGATTATGAATTTTATGAATCACACTTTAAATAGGCACCTAAATCTAACTAGTTAAATTTCATTTTATTTACTGTAAGTATCTCAATATATTTTTTTAAGAAATAAAAATGAGTAAAATATATTTAACAATTAGTTAATTTTTGTTTTTTACCTTAATTTAATTAATTTTAAGTTCTCATAATTTATACGCCGTGTTTCTAAACGTAATACTTGAGGTGAGTGGTAGAGATTTGGTTAGTTTAGTTATAATTTATAACTTATAAACACATTATTGAGTTTGTAATAAATTAACTTAACAAAAATATTATACAGTATTAAAAAATGTATGTCAATTTAAATAAAATTTGAAGGTAGGTAAAATTCCAATCTCTAATAATTTTATATATAGGTACAATAAAAATAAAAAATTAAAACTAAGTTTTCCAACTATGATTAGGTATAGGTAATTGGTAAAATGTATTATTAGCTTCATATCAAACCAGAACACGTCAAATTTACAAATATATTACCATTGATTATAAATACTATTTATAATCAATGATATTACTATCATAACCTACGCGATGAAAAAAATCTAATATTTTAGTAAAATAAAATAAATGAAAGTTTATTGCATTGAACGCGTATGTAATTAATTTTAGCTTTAAATTTGGAAGAAAAATGTGTTATTACATATTTAAATGAATAGGTAATATTCTAATTAAAATTTAAAAATAAAATTGTTCAAAAAATAATACCAATCGAGTTAACGTGTTTATTTTATAGGTCAAAAGATGTAAAATTGTAACAGTAGAATTTACAAAAAAAAAGTATAATCAGTCGTATTTACAAATGCTTTAAAGTGTTACGTTACATCCACGCGAAGAGGGTCGCATAATGTAATGATCGAATCTGGGAGGTGTAATGATTAGTCTCCTACACTCACTCACTTAAATCCTCTG